ATAAATATACTTATAAATAATGCAGGAAAAGTTAAGTGTAGGTATCTATGTGTAGTGCTATAATATTGGTTTACGTTTGCGCCACTGGTAAGCGTCATGACACATGCCGATGCAAAACATAACAGACAGTAACAATTTTTGTAGAGGTATATACCCACATGGATCAAAAAAGTGTAATCAATTTTTAAACAGGTAATAAAAAGTACAATAACCTTCAAATAAACAAATAGTAAGAACAAAATTATATCATCCAGTTTGTGCATAACTTGATAAAGACACACACACAACCGTAAAAAAGATCCACAACCAATCATTGAAAACGTTTCTACTGCCCTATACATAGACAACACAATAACAGTACAATTAGTGTAAGACAAGTGACTTATGACTACATTGTAACACATGTTTGCAAACAGAACAAACAGGTCCCTAACCAAAAATCCTGCTTATATCGGCCTCACATCGGACGCGCTCGGCCTTTAGGCCATCCTCTTTGCGTGCCAAGATTCTCCCATCCCTCGTCCAGACATACCTCCAATTTCTCCGAGTCCCCGCCTGTCTAGCGAGGTAAAATAGTTGGCGGTTCGTTCGCGTAAGCCGCTCATTTATGTAGATACGGTGCGCTTGCCCGTTCACATCGAGGTCATGTGTACTCAGACCGCGCCGCACTCGGGCCGCGCGCAGCAATGAGTCACGCGTAGATCGCCTCGCGAATCGAACCGATATACAACGCGGCCGCTGCGCACTGGGGTCGGCAGAGATGGTGTTGGTGATTCGGTTTCGGTGCGTGGAACCAACGCGCTCAACGTGAACGACGTCTTTCTCATCGATGTTGACGCCGAGCTTTGTTCCGAGAATCTTAATCAGGTGGAGGGTGCTCTCGTCCCTGCTTTCAGGGATTCCTGAGATCTCGATATCGTTGACTAATAGCTCTTGATCTCGGTCGTTCAATTGACACCTCAGCTCGTCAATGGTGTTCTCTAATGAACCCTTCTCCGGCAGGACTTGTTGCTCCAGCCTTTGCTCGAGGGACCCCACACGCACCTCCAAGCTCTCCATACGCTCGTCAGATGTCCTAACAGACTCTTTGAGTTGCGCCATTTCTGTGCGCAGCTGCTGGAGCTCCCGATGCATCAGGCGAAATTCTTTTCGTAGTTCCTCCTTAAATAGCCGCAGTTCGTCAGCTAAATCCGGAGATAAAGGGTTGGTAGCGTCCAGGGTCGTGCAGCTCATTGTGCTGGTCTCCATAAGTTCTTCAGGATTTAAGTGCTCTTCAACCTGGGCAGTCCTGGTCCGAACTGGTGTATCTGCCTTATTGTCTCTCACCTGGTTTTTGCTACACTCAGGGCAGCGCCACGCAGGTTTAATGTAACCAGTGCTCGGGAGGCAAACACAAGCACGGTGGTAAAGACCATTACAGTGATTGCATTTGGCAGCGTCTAATGGCGACAAAAATTTCGCACAACCACCACACTTTGCTGTAGGCATGTTAAACGATCAGATATTTTTAACACAGTTGTTCCGCTTAA